TGTGTGGTGTGTGGTGTGTGGTGTGTGGTGTGTGGTGTGTGGTGTGTGGTGTGTGGTGTGTGTGGTGCGATGTGTGTGGTGTGGTGTGTGTGATGTATGTGGTGTTGTGTGTGGTGTTGCGTGGTGTGTGTGGTGATGTGTGTGGTGTTGTGTGGTGTGTGTGGTGATGTGTGTGGTGTTGTGTGCTGTGTGGAGTGCTATGTTCACACATTAGTGGATCTATAGCTATCGATTATTCTGGTGTATCGATTATTCTAACGTGCATCGTATAGACATTACCGTATCACACATTTGATATTACGTATTTATTTATGATAAAAGACAGATGTCGAGGAGGTTTGACAAGTAATGTTTGCAAGCACGGTGGCTACATAAATCCGAGCTCCTGCGGTACATGCATTTGTCCGGATGGCTTTTCTGGTGACACCTGCGAGGATGTGGCGACCCCTGTCGGAGGTAATGACACAAAGCAATATACATTCGTTTAACTCCATCCATCTTCGCTTTGCTACAACTACATGGGTAAAACGAAGGAACCCGGTGAGGAATCTTAGCAGAATGGTAGGCTACGCCCTTGTCCGTTGTACAATAAAAATACACGCTAGCGGGTAAAATAAACGACCTAGCTTTGGCCCGCCACACTAAAATTAAGCTTACTATAATTTGTCCAAATTGGACCATTTATCGAACGCAAACGACCGCACGGGCAGCATTCGTAGCCACATTGCGGCGGCGGCGCCGCTGGTGAGTGAGTGGATACTCTGCATTTTCTTATGGGTTGCACTTATGCGATCATGTATAGCCCCTGTGGTGGAGCGAAGGGTTATCCGAGTAGAGCTAACCACTATTGCACCCGGGGAGTTGATATCATATGTAGCATTTTAATATCAGTATATGCTGCTATAAAACCTATGCTAAGGTTAATAACTAGAGTGTGAAGCATCACACTCATGATCGTAAATAATTATTTGCTGATATGAATTGCCGATTATTTTTGTCAATATATCTTTTGTTATCGATTCTTTTCGTTATATGAATGGAACGCAAGGGGGTGTATTTAAATGCAATAGTGGCTTGAGGACTCGTGGCAAAAATCCTTATAGTAGCTAGAGGGTTATTCTCCAAATTAAAAGCGTAGAAAATGTAATGGGCTGTAGTATTAAGCATTACGCTTTGACTCGTATCGCCATGTCGTATAATATAATCGTATATTTTTCGTTATCATTTATTTCCGTGATCCGGTCTGTTAACGATGATATTCACTATTCGTTCTCTATCAAATCATAAGCATATTTCAGATGTCGTTATGTCATTTATTTTATTCGTATTCACCCAGTAACTAGACAATACGCAACATGCTTTCCCATGCTTTACTTAAACTTGCATCCGAGACGGCGTTTTCATGCTAATATTCTACAGTGAACGACGGTGGGGAGATTGTACAGCTCGACTGCGGGCGCTCGGCTACCATCGAGGCAAACATACGGTCGGGAATTCCACTCGTAGAAGCATCGTGGCTAGTAAAGGTACGTCGAATTGCTACCACAGTTCATCTGCAGCTGCGACCAACTGATTTTGACTTTGAGTTTGACTTTGACTTTGAGTTTGACTTTGACTTTGTGTTTAACTTTTACTTTGCGTTTGACTTTGACTTTGAGTTTCACTTTGACTTTGAGTTCGACTTTGACTTCGCTTTCGACTTTGACTTTGCGTTTGACTTTGACTTTGACTTTAAGTTTGACTTTGACTTTGAGTTTGACTTTGACTTTGAGTTTGACTTTGACTTTGAGTTGCCAGCTGTCGGCAAGATAATGGAATGTTGCATGCTGAAGATGCGTTTCGTTGATAAAATATTTATTTCGAAATCATTGCTCAGAAACGAGCATGTTTTTGGTGAACATAGCCAAGCACGAAGGTTCTAAGACATGTTAGCGTTACTCTAGACAGTCGCTGTTACTTAAGCAATAACGGTAAGTGTCGTAAAAATGGGGAAAACACAAGACTGGTTGCAAATCAAGTTCGAAATAAATGCTTTAATGAGCAGGCGCCCGATGGAGCTTCGTTGGCGGTTCATCTGGACAGCATTGACATAGTGTGGTACGGCAACTACATTTACGGATGCCCCGACTGGCTGGAGATTAAACACGATGACGTCACGAATCCTGGAATACGGTTAGTGTATGATATATATATATATATATATATAATATATCAAGAGGTTGTTCAATGACGTCTGTTCAATGTGGTGATACGTACGCAACCGATTCCCCGTTGAAAACGGCAGAATATAGCAGATATAGTGGTTAATGGCAATAGTTATAATTATATCTGTGTAGGCGGTTAAAGGCACGTATATGATCGATCGTAGCAAGATTATTTGCATGTATTATGATGTGTTATGGTATGCTGTGCAAGATTATAGTCGTAGTCGTCTATCTACGATAACGAGCCAAATGTAATCCGTTAGCACCCATAGCTATAATTGCACTTTACTGTGACCTTTATATGTCTTAAGTATATATGGCTTAAGTACAGGTAGCACTCGAGCGTTCAAGTGCACGCCATGCAATTTAGTAATGAGAATCCTGTTATTAGTACATGACATGGCAAACACCAATATACTACCTTTCACATATGAGTATATTATTGCCTATGTTATAAATAGTTTATACGAAACCGATCCATAATAAATGTATACGTATTTCGTTAATCTTGTCTAATTCACTTGCTAAAATACTCACTAATTCGCAACCGTAAGAAGTAAAAGCTGTTGAATGCGTATCTCCGAAACGGCACCTTATATATATATATCCGATTTATAAACTTTATGGTATTATAAAAAAAATTGCGTGTTTTTTGATGGTTTATTCCCATTTCGCCATTTCCCACTTCGCCATTTGCCATTTCGCCATGGAAAAATTCCCACTTCGCCATTTGCCATTTCGCCATTTCCCGTTTCGCCATTTCCCACTTCGCCATTTTCCCATTTCGCCAGTTTCCCACTTCGCCAGTTTCCCATTTCGCCAGTTTCCCGTTTCGCCAGTTTCCCATTTCGCCAGTTTCCCGTTTTGCCAGTTTCCCATTCCGCCATTTCGTCCTATCTCCCCGACCACCCTCTTGCTCGAGGTAGGTTAAAAGTAGGCCTCTGTAATGAATAAATTATAGCGAATCTTTAGATATGGAGTCAACTATTTATTTGAAGAACAAGAAGGCGAAATCGTACATATCAAAACATATGGATCATGTACAGGCACCCTAACCCTCACCCTAACCCTAACCCTAACGACCTAGAAATTATTTTTTTTAAGAATGAAAGGATCAATTTCGTGCAGGGGGTGGAAGCAACATAAAATATTAGCGAAATTGGAAACTGGCGAAGTGGGAAAATGGCGAAATGGGAAAATGGCGAAATGGGAAACTGGCGAAGTGGGAAAATGGCGAAATGGGAAAATGGCGAAATGGGAAACAGTGGGAAACTGGCGAAATGGAAAAATGGCGAAGTGGGAAAATGACGAATGGGAAACTGGCGAAATGGTTAATGGCGAAATGGCAAATAGCGAAGTGGGAAACTGGCGAAATGGGAAGACATCTTTTTGATATACTAATGCGTGGAGTCGTCAATTTTTTCTGTAAAAATCATTAAAAACGCAATTTCGGGTATTCTGCAAACATAGCATGTGGTATAGCAGAATTTATAGACATGGAAACTGGAATCTATCGTGCGTAATATCCGTTTTCTATAAGTATTTTAGTCATATTGCTTTCGATAAAATATGACATCGTTATTGTTGCTATAGGCTATGCGGAGATGAATTCGATCTGCCAACTTTGCTATCAGCGAATGGCGAAGTGTTGATAACGATGAAGCAATATCAAGGTCGCGGTGGCAGTTTCACAGTCCGGGTCACAGGTACGCACCTAGTTATAACGACATAGTTTAGAACTACACCCGTAAAAATTCTCGAGTGAGCGACAAAACGAAATCCGGGTTAATCATCTATCGTTAGAAACACCGAGATAGTCAATGGCACGGTGGGGAGGCGGATATTTGATCTGCGTGGAAGAGTGTTTAGAAGTGTGTAGTAGTGTGGAAAATTGCGAGTAGAAGAGTGTGACGCTCACGATAATTCCGATAAAGCTGATTCACGTAAATTCAAAGCAATTCTAACGTTATCACCCATCATAGTGCGGCCTTGAAAAACCGTCGTCCACGATTTCGTCGCATACGTTCGTCGTCTACCTGCACGCGAGAAATACGAGAACGCGCATACGAAATAACGCACTTACCTGTACGTGCACGCACTTACACGAACGCATACGTATATATATATATATCAGGAGAGTATAATATATATTATACACTCTTGAATACATGTAACACCGATGCTATACTCTCGCAGCAAAATGCTCCGGTGTTGAGCCTCGACCCACCACCTCTATGTCGTCGCCCGCCCCCGTCGCTCCGACGCCGCCGACGACGACGAGGCGGCCGACGACAACTTCCTCCTTCACGAGAGCTCCTCGGAGAACTACAACGTCAGTTCCGGTCACATCCGGGAGCATGTTCCCGCCCTCGCCGGCCACATCCGGGACCTCGACCCCACCCTCGCCGACCACATCCGGGTCGTGCATGTGTTTGCGCTACGAGGAACCCGTCGAGTGCGAGCCGATGTGTGGATGCCGTAGAGCAACGAGAACATGCCTGCAGAGCAGCGCGAATTGCAGGTATGCGTGAAAGCTGTGTGGCTATATACGATGGCACTTCATCATGATGGATGCTTCGAATATGTGAAGTACATCATTATTAATCTGTGCATGCCATAAGCGGCTGTATGCCAAGTATCGGCAAGACGATATAGCCCCTCCACTTGTTGTTCACCTATACGTCACGTATATAGTCACCAATATAGTGGAGTGCATTATAACCTGTAACCTGTAATCTGTAATTATAAGGTGTATTATGAACCTGTGCCGTGAACGGCAGTAGTATCGACTAGACGATATAGCCCATCGAGATAGAGACATAGAGATTACTCCAAGCTATCAGCGTATTTTCAACGCGAAACTATAGCACGTAAACTCGCGTAAATGTTGTGCGCATATTTATATTGTATGCTATTGTGAAACTAGAGCACTCGGAGAGCACAGACTTCCGCCAAGGCAGCTGAATTCTCTCAATGTGAAATTTTTTATTAATTAATTAATTAATTAAGTGAAAAAATTAATTAATTAATTAATTAATTAATTGGATTCGGATTAGTGCGAGCGTGCAGGTGGGGGAGGACTGTGGTTGCCCCTTACCCTGTGGTTGCGTGTTTGTAAGTCTACAGCCAGCGCACCTAGCGGAAGTGAATTGAAACGTGCATGTTAACAAACCCACAAACCCACAAACACACAAACCAACACTCAAACACACGCCGGTGAAAACATAACCCCCGCCAAGCCCCTGGCGGAGGTAATAAGGGTTCGAAACCTATGGAATGTGTGAATTCGATAAACGAGGAATTTCTTTATTTCAGATCGACAGGCGAGCTGGATATGACTGTCCCCTGTGGCAGTCGATTACCGAGCTGTCGGTCTGCCACCAGGGGGCGCTTCTGCTGTGACGACTGGGTACGAAGAGGCAGATTCTGCCTGCCACCTCGTAATAGTATACGATTGTAAAACATGCACGTGTGCAAATAATTATTAATATTTTATTCCAGCGACATGTGTTAGGGAATTAAAAGGGCAGTGAACGGGGTTCTCTCAGTAATCCCCATCTTATCCAAATCCCCGGCGCAGTGGACATATTCAAAACTTAGCATACGAAATACACGTATATTTTATGTTTATAGTATTGCTATACTATAAAATTATATTTATTAAAGTATCGCGTATTAATAATGGAAGAGAATATGCCAATATGCGTTTTGATCAGATCGTTCATCATGGGTTATTAACTTCTACGTTTAGCGTAACTATGAAACAGTGCAAAATTACGGTGACTATCTACGATGTTCATTTCCCTATATGACAGCATTACGTATACTATTGCTACAGCACAATTTTCTGAGGAATAACAAGCTGAAAATGGAAATAGAACAGAATAACATTATAAGAATAACACTATATTGGCAACAGGTAGGGAGGATGTGTAGTTAGAAGACTGAGCTAGAGATTAGAAACAGTGGTAAGTTTCTTAGATGCGTCCACCACACGTTTAACCCACTTGACTTTATCTGCAAAATATTCAGACAAATTTCGCATCTTGTTTTTTTAGCCTTCACGCCCCACGAAACAATACGCGCTAGCAGAAATTTTATTTATTTTTAGAAGAATACATTCCGCTTGACTCCCTTTCCAGTTCGTTTCCTTTACCTGTTATATTTGACGCGAAAATGGACCACATTCATGCATCACGCACTCAAGAACTGCGTAATAATATTGACGAGCAAGAACGTGCGTGTAACTTCGTTTTCTCCGCCTTTTTCACTGATACATACCTCGCTCTGTATACACACACATATCTTTGTGCTTTATTATGAAGAATTTCATACACATACTCTGTATAGAAACCCACTCATAGATAAACGGACATCTATTCTAAAGATCTCTCTCTATATATACCTATATCTGAAATCTGCCGTAGAATATATCTGTACTATGCATGCTATATGCAATGTTTTACTTATTACGCTGTGAGCTCATTAGAGTAGATTAAAATACGCGTATGTACAGTCGCATGCACAGACAGGTTGTCTGGAACGATTTCAGACCAGTCCATGGGCAAATATTTCCGCAATTTGAGACTGAAATCCCATGGATATAAAGGATTTCATTTGTGTAGTATTTGAATTCGAATAAAGCGAAAGTTGTTAGAAAATTATAGAAAGTCTGTTTAATTTTTTTTGTATGCGGATATATCGGGTTTAAAACGCGATTTCCGCATTACGTCATATTGGTGGTTCATTAAATTTGGATCTATTATCTATTTCGAAATTTATCATGATATATCATCCATGATCCATCATCCATCCTATAGCTTTTCCAACTTCTTTTGTTCGTTTTTTTGTATTATTTGTATTGAATTTTTGTATACTGATTTTCTCATCAAGTTATCTTGCTTATTGTCTAACAATTTCAGTAATGATCTGTATAGTGTATCGTCTTGTTTCTGTGTGCGACAAGAATCAAAATGCTTATGTGCATGCATATGCATGCGTACGTACGTGCGTGCGTGCATGCATGCTGCCTTGTGCATGTGCTCTTACATTTTTCACGTGTATATGAGATTGTGCTATCGTGTGCGTCTTACATGCACCTATATGCAGTCTATGTGATGCGTGTGCGTGCATTTGCCCGCAGGTTCACATCTGGGGCCTCAGAACAAACTATAGGCGTAACACATGTCGTTAACACATCTCAGCAGACATCTGCAAACGTAATGCCAGCGCTGTTTATTAACAAACATATCAGTGAAAGTGAAGAGAGAGGTCGATGACTTAGACATACACACCCAGCGAGAAATAGGTAACCAGTTTTTGGCTTTGCTACTTTCCCTTAAAGGCGCAAACCGGATTATGTAGTAGCATATATAACTTGACATACGCACAGCCGAACCAGTCAGTACGTTTCCACATGCGGTGTGCGTTTAACCCGAATGATATAGTTAATATTAAAAGGTGGTTATCTATAAGAGAGGACTAGCCACTTTTCCGGTTGCAGTAGAAAGTCATCCACCTCAAAATTCGGTAAGTTACGTCTGTGCATATTGATACGTACGATTACAAACTCGTGCATTATCAGTGAAGTGGAAGCATTCGCAATATGTAAATTATGGCTTTAAATGAGTGTATCCATTACAATAAAGACTAATTCCGGCTCACGATGAAAAGGGTATTGAGCGTTTCACACGTAAAAACTTGTCTCATGACAAATTAGACAGTTGCTGTACAGTTAGCGATGAGATTTAAAAAAGTGTGATTGGGGTTTGTTTTGTTAAGAAGAGCCGCTTCCTGCACCGAGTGACTGCGCGCAAAATGAGTCTGGGTGCTCCGTGTTTGCTCGTGTGCGTGCGTGCGCGTGCATGTGTGTGTGCGTGCGTGCGTTTATGTGTGTGTGTGTGTGCGTGCGTGCGTACGTGCGTGCGTGCGTGCGTGCGTGTGTGTGTGTGTGTGTGTGTGCGTGTGATGAGCAAGTCATCTGAAGCGACTAAAGACCCTTGTAAGACCGACGGGCACATTTCAGTTGCAAATTTCGCATAAAACACCAAGAAACAACGGAATCTTCGTCAATTATTCACGCGAGTATTCCTTGACACTGGGAATAGTGGATTTAGTGAATAACCAAGCGTGAATTGGCTATAGGTGCGATGTAGCTTACTGTGTATGTTGGTGTGTGTGCGAGGGAGGTGCGTGTGTGTGGGTGCTTTCGTACGTGCATGTGTGTGTGTGCGTGCGTACGTACGTGCGTGCGTGTGTGCATGTGTGTGTGTGTGTGTGCATGTGTATGTCCGTGCGTGCGTACGTGTATAGGGGGTGCCTATATATATATATATATATATATATATGTGTGTGTGTGTGTGTGTGTGTGTGTGTGTGTGTGTGTGTGTGTGTGTGTGTGTGTGTGTGTGTGTGTGTGTGTCGTACCGTACGTCGTCGTCGTTCTACCGTACGTAGTACGTTAACGACTAACGTCGTACGTACTACTTAAC